CATGTGAAAGTTTTTATTATACACTGTATAAATTGAATATTGACTCCACGAACCTGATCGTACGCCCTGCGTCGTAACAGTGGTTTTACAACCTCGTTACACGGCCCTAAAGTGTATTTAGCACCGACAAGCAGAACAAAACTATAGCGGCTACCGGTGACCTTCCATTCAGTCATTGAGTCGAGGTATTTTTCAGCGGCTAATCCGCATTCGGTTGAATGGATTGGATCCGTAGCATGTGTTACTACGGGGAGGCCTGGTGACACACACAGGTTCCGACGAAATTGCCTCTAATGCCCTACAAGTGTCTCGGACCAGTTCGTCCCGCTTAACGAACTTTGAAAGGGTCCAGTTATTAGAGAGAATCCTGAAAGACACGCGGCGTGACACCACCGTTATTTATCAGGCTAAACAGCGAGGAGAATAGCTAACTAAATGAACAACATCAAAAGGCACCGACAGGAATACTTTCTGTATTTGTATCAGCTATTGTGTCGATCATTAGATGAAACATTATATCAGACATCGAATGATGCATTGGAACAATTATTATATTCATTTATATTATTAAACCGCAAAAGAATTTCACTTTATCTGACCTTAATCCTTCATATATTTGAACTCGAACGAAATCATGAGGATCCGGTTGTAAACGTGAAATTTAAAATTGTGTCAGGATATATTTTTGCCAGCAGCGTGACGAGTCATACTCGAAAAGAAACCGTGTGTTTTTTCGTAAGAACGGACGCACGTAGCTCTTCAATTAGGCTGCACGGTACGGCGAGGATCTCCTCGGTTTATTTGAGATAGAAACATAAACGAGTGCAAGCGTGAAAGTACGTGTATTTGCACTGACTTCTCCGTATCGCTGTACAAACACCCGCAATACGAAAAATCGTGTCAGTCTCGTGCAAAAACCTAAAATTAACATTTTCAACCTCAGTTGTTCATTTACGTGCACACGTACCTCTGGCCGTTTCTTGTTACGGTATCTTTCACTGTGAATGATTGATTCAATCCAATAAATTTCTCATTCACATCAATTTCAATAAAATTGTATTGGCATCGTGATAAGCGAGCCGATAAGAGGGCAGAGTAAATGGAAAAAGAATTGTGGGTAACAAACTGCGCAATTCGTATTACATTATTCACGTGCCGTGTGAAAACGAGCGCTGGAACAAAGGGAGAGGAGAACAAAATAGACACCTGCGAGCAACTTTCGAGCAGCGAAAATGCCCTCGGCCTACTTCCCGCTCGCGAATAATACTCATTTCTGCATTATCTGGTTTTCATCTGCCCGCGGTCCATTCTTTTCTCTCACTTTTTGTCCCTTTACATCGGCGAACGTGAACATTGTCTCTTGTTTCAGAAAAAACCGCGTAGATCAATTCTTGGTACGCTTCTACTTCTTCTTTTCTTCTTGCAGATCATAAATTTTCTTTACTCTCAACACTGCAAGATTGCCTCCAACTGTAAACGATCGCGGGTGGACGGGGCATAAATCTCGTTTTCAGTAATAAATTTTGTTGCGACCAAATGGACTCGTTGATGTGAAACAAAAAATCCTTAAAATAACTGAAGGTGCCTTTAAAAATGTAATTTTTCGGCTATTAAAAAAATGCAATTCTCTGTTTATCCGCCCATCATTAAACTATCATAACGGTGTATGTACCAGATAGCCCGTTAAACGAAACCGTGTCACCACTTCTCAGATTAAATCGATCGAGCTAAAGGGTGTTACTGGCCCCTCCTGTTTACCAAGAGAATGCCAACTATTTTTCTTGTGGAACGTCCCGGGACGAAAATATTTCGCCAAACAACCCATACGTCCTTCCCACAGCAAACAACCAAAGAATTCCTCTCGTGGGCACGTATACGCGAAGATAACACGCAGAATTACGACAGTGAGACGTGCACAAAAATAAAAGGAATTAAATCAATCCTAGGTTTGGTTACTTCAATAAATACTTCGTGAATTCCTACGAGTAGACATTCCATTGATATTGCAAGAATTTAAAACAGTGAGACTGACTTTGTACCGAGCGTAAAATAAAACGTATCAAATATACTGTGACGACATTTAGCACGTTTCGTAAGTTTGTTTAGATCCCCGCAAATTGAGTTAGAACGTGAAAGGGGAACGATTTGCGCAACGAAAATCTGCATTTAATGTCAATTAGGTAACGGCTTCTCGGAAGCTTATCGAGAGACAATAACCTACTGCATTCCATATTGGAAAGCGATTTCGCGGTAAGAGTTTATCTCAACCTCAACCGGAGCATCGCTCGGGACTAATTAGATGCGATGGTGGTAATGACAATGCGGCGTTAACGCGATCCCAAGCACCTGCCAATTTAAAGGTTAGCAGAGATGAGACGAGCCGCGTGCGGCGCCCCGACTGTCAATCTGACAGCCACGACCGATATAACGTAATCATCGTTCATTGTACCCTTCCACCGCGAATACAAAGGAATCTCTCGAGGTCTCGTTTGCCGCTCGAATCCTCAAAAACAGAGTCTACCGAACGTGTATTCAAACTCCATTTGTACAAACTTTACGTAACAGAGTTATTTATCAGTAATTACGTACTTGCATTTAAGATAATGCAATTTAAGATAATAGAATCTATTACGTCGCATAGATAGAGTTCGAGTGTAGTTGTGTATAAAAAATGTGAATAAGCTTACCGATCAGCAGGCAGACGAAATCGATGATGATCTTCCGTAAAATCATTTTCGACGATCGATCCATGACGATTCGGTTCACGATGCGCCCTTCACTCTTTCTCTAAGCAGTTTGCCGAAGGACGATCAACAATGGCAATGACGATTTACGCGCACGATAGAAGGAAACAATTGGCGCGTTGCGTTCGTGTAGAAAAACGGAGGGAAAGAACCATCCCGACCGGCGGTTCGGAATGGACTGGACGACGCTTCGCGAATCGAATCAGTAGACCAGGAACAAGGTACACGACCGGCTCGATCGAGGTCCGCGGGACGACTGCGGCTGCGCTGGCTCCGCCGCGCATCGACGCACGTGCCTCTCGAATCAAGACTTACAGTTTTAATAATGGGCGCTCATTGTAACATGAAATAAACATGAAACATAAGTCTCTCCTCTCCTCCATGAAAGATGAATGAACCGTTCACCTTTCCAATTACGCTCGTTCGCTGAACAATCGCCGCCCTGCATACCTAATTGACCGTTGTACATATACGCGCAGTCTTGACGGAATCAATCATACGAAACTCAATGTTCTTCCGAAAATCTTTTGTTCAAATTCGATATAAGAGGTACGCGTAGAAACGAACAATAAAGCGTTTAAAAAATCGTCAATTTCTATAGCGACAAACCTGATTGAATTTCCATTTACGTTTCATGAACTACTTACTTCGGGTCATAAAAGTTGACGAAACAATTGTAGGGAATCCCGAAGGGTTGGTAAGAGGTCATTACTCTAAGCTGTCCTTATCTAACAACTGAGGTCTGCTAATACTTAGTCGAAACAGGTCGTGAAAATAGTTGGGACGTACCGTGAAGTGAAAGGGAAGATAAGATTACAAAAAATATGGAAGTAAGGGTAAATATTGTTTAAGGGAAACAAGCGTATGTAATACCTTTCTTTTGCCCCGTCGTAAAGCAAACCGCAGATACCTGAACGCACATCTTCCAGACGTTTATCTCGCGAGAACAGTAGATTTCATTCAAAGGAGAGTTCAACTTCAGTTGTAATTTAGTACGGTTCCAATCAAATTTATATGCTCTCCTTCCTTATCTGAATTTTTTAAAGAACAAAAGTAATTTCTGTTTAGTTATTATAACGTGCATTCATATAAAAATATGATGTACACGTTGACAGAATTAAGATTGCGACATCCACTTCGTCGTATGACATTTGAGTACTCGAACAACGACTTGTTACCATTGTAATCAATGAGATTTTATGAGATAACGAAATCCTATTGTTGATAGTTTCGGTATGAAAAAAATACGGGTCGGTGTCTCTGATTCAGCGATTCAATCTCGCATCTATGATTCACGCCGCGTGGTGAGACTGCAAATCTAAGAGCGTCGATGATTTGGATATCAACGATCAAGTAGGTGCGGCGTTTCGTGTGTTGGACGCGTGACAGAAAACACTTGGCGATAGTTGAAGATGAGGTCAACGTGTAATTTACGCTGTCACAACACTATTAATGTATTATTAGGTGTTTAAATTAATTCATTTCTATTTTTTTATTTAAGTCTTTAAGGCTTTTATCTGTACGTTTAATTTAGAGAAATGAGTACTTCGTAATGCGTCTATAATAAGGAAGTATGAATTTCGTAAGCACAGGAGGATAACATAATTATATTATATTTATTGTAAGGCAATGATATACAATAACGGGTACACAGTGCAAAATAATACATTACTCCTTGAATTTCTTTATCTCACATTCGGAGCCTTCCGGCAATTATTGTTATTAACAACAGCAACGCTGGCCTGTCGTATAGAATATATGTACAGAAATAATCCTAGACATTTTAACAATTAATGCTGACTCTAATTTAAGTACACTCTATAATATCTGTGTCGAAATTTTCACGAAACTATTTACACTGCAAGTTTCTATTAGATAAAAGTAACCGATACTTTAGTATAGAGAAGATTGAAATAAAATTTTGTAGAAACCCCCTTTAAAGTAGTAAAGATTAAAACGAAATGCAGGTGAAACATTGATCATTGTTTTAAGAATGAAGATCAGACGACAATGAAATGACAAATTTTTTTCAAATGATTTCCAAAGATCGATCTGGAACATATTATTTAAGAGCATGCAGAAAAACTATTTCCAATATGTATTAGGCTTTTACAGATTACCTCTAATTACCTTGCCGAATACAAATTAATTTCTATATACTTACATATTATGTACTTGACATATGGAACATGTTATATTTCAATCAGAGATCCTTTTTTACGCGGATTAATAAGTTTTCACCCATTGAGGCCCATGTACATAATATTTTTTAATATCGTAGAAGGAAGTCAAAGGATTTAATAAATAATGTTTCCTGATTTGCGAAAAACAATAATTGAATGATTTGATAATAAGTAATGATCCCCAATGGGTTAATCCTCCTTTATCACGTTTCGCTAATTACAAAATTATTGTGTAAAACGATGACGTAACTTATCCGCACGTTACTTCTCGTACACACATCTATTTACACTTCTTACTCGCAAATTCCTTTTCATTCTCCTCTTATCACTTATGCAATTCGGTTCATACTCTGAGACACATACGACATTCGATTGCTTTAGCTTAATTAAGACTTTACTTAAGCTTACGTGTTCATTTCTCAATGAATTACAACGGCGATAAATAATCACGGCAGCAATGGAGATTAAGTTACCAATATAAAATACACGCGTATGAATATTACTTCGAAATATGTATTGCAATGGATTAATTTACGCGCATCTAATCAAGTTACCGTTAAATATTTACAAAATTAATTCTTTTCTAAGAAACAATGACGAAATTTATAAATATAAATAGAAAAGAATAAGAAATAATGTATTTCATTTAGTTGCCAAGTAATTCACTAGTTAAATAATTAAAATGTTCCCGTCATTTCATGACGTACTTATTATGCATTAAATGAGCGCCCTTAGAATTTCTTTCCATTAATCGAGTAAAAGAACTTTTCTATAAAATAAAACCTAAGTCTACATTTCCGCATGGCACAGTAATTTAAGGTCTATTTCCTTACGAATGTTTCAAGCTGCGTTAAATATTAACATTCGTACAACCACTCATACCTTTTTCGTTGCATCACATATGCACAATATTCATATTATGCATCACTATTCGTAAGAACACCGAATCTCTTTCGACTGCGTTTAAAACATTTGTAACTTGAATTTTTTGAACCTCTTTGGTTGCCTCTGAGGACTTTGGTTTTACTTTAATCGTAGGAGAAATCTATCTAAAGGTGATTGCAAATAAGAACGAAAGAGGAAACGCAGTAAAGAAAATGAGGTAGGACTTCAGAGCGTCCCATTTTTCAAATGAAAATTCCCAATCCTGACTATCATTGCTGAGAATGTATATCAAGTACCATAGATTTGCATTTGTAAAAATAATTTTATAACAATTCCACCTCCATTAGTCATCTACGCGGTTCGGACGCGTACGTCGTGATTGTATTGTCTACGCAGCCGGCTGCTAAGATCACGCGGTAAGGATGAAAGCTTAAACAACTCACGGGACTGATTCGAGTGGCCATGAATCCCTCGTGGAATTTGATCGTGTTCAAGTGTTGACCCATGGTATTGTACACGCTTATACAGTGATTCGTCGAGCCACTGGAACACAAATAAACGTAACGATTATTAAAACCAGATACGATAAGCACACGGACGCCAAGGAAACATTTTAACTTACCAGGCGAAAACATCAGCCACTTCGTGCGCCGCTAAAGCCGTAATGCCTTGCGTGATCTGCACAGTGCTGACGGAAGAATTTTTCCTAAGATCGAATATCCTAATGTCCCCGGAGGAAGAGCCGGTGAACAATTGCGAGCTTTGAGATTTCCTTAAGGACGTACTTAGCACCCACGCTGTATGCTCCCTCCAGATCATGACTCTCGACTCTAACGGAGGCAATCTTCTATCGAATAACCGCACAGAACCATCTCCGCAACCTACCGCCATCATTGCACCTGTGCGAGATCAAGCGAATATTCATTTTCCATGTTTAACAATTTATGGGAAGTATATGATGAAATGAAATTCTAATAACTGACCTACGCCATCGACGTCGATGCACGTTGCACAACAATCAGCACCTGTAGGTATATCTTGCTTCTTAAGCTCAGTCTCCGCGTCCCAGAGTCTGACGATACGAACGTCGCCTGTTACGGTTAACGTAAGGGATCTCTGCTCCCATTTGGTAACCAATCCAGCTGTTGCTGCAAACAATTCCCATGGATGTACGCAGCTAATATGGAGTTATAGGCTTATTAAGACTCTTGTACATACCTGTAGCCGTTTTCGCTGCCGGTTGTATGTCGGCCATTGCTTGCCAAGCGGTAAGTAACACTGGCTCACGATTCAACATTCTGCTGTAATTCTTCCATACTCTAACTGAACCATCGTCAGATCCAGCCATTAACAACGTTACATCGTGATCGTTGATAAATTCTAGCGAAGTGATACGCGACATTTTATTCCCGCGACTCGCGCAGTAAGTCAACTTTGCACCAGTTTGGCAGTCCCACACTCTGCAATAAATAATAATATATTCGATGATTTCTCTATTTGATATGAAATCAAATTTAAGTACGTACCCGAAGTGATCTTTTGAAGCTACAGCCAAATGAGACTCAAAGGGATGAAACGTGAGAACTTCTGGAGATTGCGAACACCTCGCGTGAAACATTTGGAACTCTAATCTAGTCTGCACCGCGCGTAACTGTTCTTCCCTTGCATCCCGTCTTTGCCGCTTGTTTCTCAAGTACCGCCATTCTCGTTCGTAATGCACTCTACTCTCCACATCGTTCATCGACTCGGTCTCCGTTTCTAAACTAACAGGTTGCGCTAACTGTGCACAGCTCCATTCGACGAACTGCGAAGTGGTCAACGGCGTTTTAATCCCAGCAACTTCATCCGTTTCTTCCGATATCTATAAACAATAAGATAACATTGAAATAATAAAGAATGTATGTGAAATATTTTAAAAATGATTTAATCACCGTATTTGGGATGGGCTTTCGCGAACGATTTCCATGCGATGGTATCCTCGATGAACGTAATAGATCTGTGCCAGAGTTTACCGTAGGCGGCGACTCCCCTTTACTACTACTTTAAATACAATTACAAATTAAATGCATGAAAACATTCTATGGAAAAATAAAAACCTACCTTAAGTAAGTAGTACGATTCGATGGAGAAGGTGGAAGAGATAACGACGAAGATATTTTCGTTTCGATCACTTCCTTAGGTGCGGAAGATTCCTTCACCTAAAACAATGTTTAACTATGTCTATAAAAGTTCCAGTATGAAATTTTCATTGTCACACACCTGATTCCGAATATGGTTGGTGACCTTCTGAGACATAGCAGCGACCGCAGGATGAGGATCGCTGTCGAGACTACACAATCCGTGCCACAGTTTCATATACACGCTACCATAGGAAAGACTCGGTAAGTTTCCAAGAGAACTGTGCCCTACAATTAATAAAAACAGTCTACAATATACCGCATGATCGGCACTAGAGAAAATCTGATTCTTGTAAATTAAAAAAAGAAAATAACAGTAGTATAGCGCTAGCTACAAATAAAATCTAGAAATGAAGGATGAACTATGTACGAACATGCAATGGAATTTCCAATCATTATTACCAAGTGACTCGCAAGGTTTCCTCACGAACTCCCAATTATTTCCTGGCGCGCGAATGGAACAATACAAGTTATTGTTATCGAAAGTCCGGTTAATTACGCTACAAGCGATAGCTAATAGCGTAATTACTCACCTAAACTACTGATAGACGACGACGACGATACCCTCTTAATGCGGTCCTGGCTGAACCCATCCGTGCTATCCCCGCTGTACGTATTGTTCGTCGAAAGCATTTTCAATCGGTCCCTAGAGCTAATGCGTCTCATTCCGCTAAACGGCGACAACGTCTCCACTACTAAATCCTTCCGGCTGTTCTCCTCAGCCAAGGCCAACGTTACGAACGAGTTCTCAAAATGTAAAACCATCCACTGTAGCGCTACGACTAATTCCTGCAATTCAAATATTTTATACATCATGAGTCTACAATTGAAATTACGCATCGTTGTACAACAGACTTACATACTTTTCTAACTAGAGGACACATATCGTGTGACACGGTGTTAATGAGCGTCATTGCAATGATTTGATCGATATTGTTTGCATGCTCGCTTCGCGTCGTCACGCTATTTATAAACGTGCCCAGAGCGTAAACACTAGCCGCTCGCACCTGCAACATTTAATTTATTTCTTAGAATGCAATTTTATGCGAGGCAAATTATAACGCACCTCAGGAACCGGATCCTGTAGCAGCGTGAACAATTTTTCGTGAGCAATATCTCGAACTCCGCACCATCTTGCTTTATCGTAATTGTGCCAAAGCCTCCCAAGACACAAACACAGCCACTGTCGCAACAAAGCGTTCGAATCACCGAGTTGCTCTAAACAGATCGAGACGAGACTACCATGATTCGCAGCTACTTGACCCGGTCGGTAGTCGTTCACTATGCTAGCCAAGACAAATACTGCTAATGTCCTATGCTCGCTCTAAAACAAAATAAATTTCAAATAAAGCGAATATGAGAATTATTTAATAAGTATGAATGCAATCGCACCGGAATCGAAGTATCCTGCAGTACAGATAAAAAATACTTGTGCCCACCATCCCGCACTAAATCTGCTTGACAAGTCTGAAAGATACATAATAATAATTTTCTATTTAAACATGAATTAAAATATTTAACACTTACACTGTCGACGGCGAGGATCTTCGCCCAAATAAAGACGAGTAGCGGTCGCAGTTCTCTAGCGTTACTCTGAAGTAATTTTAAAACGTATGGGAAAATGCCTACGCTAAGAGCCAAGTTCACCGCCCATGGGCCGAGATCAAGAAAACGTTCTAATAATTCCAACGCTCTTAACCTGTGCACTTGACTTAACAACACTTGTAACACTATTGGCAGTTGCTCCGGAGGATTGCGATTCTTCGAGCCTAGCGTGAGCCATACTTGGAACGCTGTGAGCTGCTCTTCAAAGAAAGGGGAATGCACGAACTGATCCTCGTTCTCGAGGATGGATGGCAACTGTGCTAGGCAGAGGTCGAGCGCCAAATCCCATGCTTGCCACATGGGATGCTGAATTGACGACAAATACTTGTTAACTTTTCAAACATTTACGATTAATTTTTAATTTATTTTACTCTACCTGATAAGTGGGTGGAAGTTTCGGACAAGATACCGGAGTGCAATCGTACGATCGAAGTATTCTCTCAGCAAGTAAGAAATTCCTAAATAAACTGGCAACTAATAAATCTTGTCTGAACAATCTCTGGAATAAATCTGCGAACAAGCGTTTAACGTCAATTATTTAATCTATAAATAAATATCGTTTAAGCTTACCTCTTGGCAATGTGTTCCATGCTATGGTATCCGTGATTGCTGTAAATATCCAATTAAGTTCACCTAACATTGTCCTTCTATCGGTCAACTGTCCTGGAATTCTAAAATTTATTTGCCATGATTCAATAATTTCTTTAATCAACAGTAATATGGAAATAGATTATTCTTACTTGTCAATTAAGTCTAACGATATTTTTGGAACCAACTTCGATGTATTCTGCATAACAAACCTACGCAAAGAGTACATAATTGTTATAGCAACGCATAATTCCTGAAAATAACATATTTACTGTACCATCGTAACGCAATTTTTATCGGAGTTGTAAGACACGACGTAAATATATCCGCAGGTAAATCCGGGTTCATGGGTAAAATTTGATTAGCCGCGCACGCTGCTAACTGGATACAATTTTTATACGACGGCGCAGTGGTCCCTGCAACTCCCGTTGCTCGGTTCTGCTGCACTGCCTGTTTTTCCATCTATGAAATGAGATTTTCAATATCCTTTACATATTACCTTTAATCAAGGTGCCTGTGCATCATTTGTACCTCGTATTCTTTCTCATGCTGTTCTGCAAATTGTTGGAACGACTCAACAATAATACCTGCATTAGAACAATCATAGACATAAATGCTAGGAGCACCCATCCATGTCTGTAAATCGTATACAGATAGAGGTATATACTGTGTGTATGTCTGCAATAATAATATAAATTTATCGCAATTATTACTTAAAGCAATCAAACTGTTTCAATTTACTGACCCTATTGAAAACCCATATTTCACCATTACTGGTAGGCTTAGGAACACCGTGACCGTTGTAATGAAAGAGAACTCTCTCTTCTTTTGCATTCCTCCTCAAAGAAGTGCATAATTTCTTGACTTCTTCGACAGTAGGGTCTAAACTTTGTTTATAGCGAGCTCTGGGCTGCCACCGTTCGTATTGTTTTTGTAAATTAGAACCGATAGTCTCTAAAGCTTTTTGCGGGCTCACTGATAGCGGATCTATAAAATTCGAAATAAACAACTGAGCAGAGAGCACAGTGGGAATAATTCAAACTGGCGTCAAATAGAACGCCACCTAGACCTCCCAGCATTCATTTGGAAGCTACTGTCATGCACATGCTTAACCTCCGCATTACATAATTGCTTATGGATGTAAATAAACTGAGATAAATACCGATCCAACATTCGAGGCGCGCACACGGTTGCGTCTTGACGATGTCCGGCGGATCGACGCCGACGTTTAAACACAAAACTAGAGCGACGCTCACAGTCTTCATCTGGAAAACGGAAAGACTGTATACAATAGCGTACGCGGTTCATCGAAACTGCGTCTGAGAGAAAGACGATGTACCCGTTCTTTCATCCTCCAAGTCTGCGTGATACAATTGACACCCTCGATCGTTGCCGTGTGCCGCGGCTTGCAAAACGCGAGCGACATTTTCCAATCGTCCTCCTCCGCCGATTTTGAATTCTCTTCCTCGTGGCATGGCTTCGAGGCAGTTACTGACATTGTAAGTACGTCACTCGGAGAAACGTTTACGCTTCACTCTCGCGACGGACGCGTTGCACCGATCGAAGATCTCGGATCACCGTTCCGTGAGCATCCACTCTAATTATTCAGTGACAATATTCAATAAACGACAACTGCAGAAACGTTTTTTAACAGAGCACAATTTCGTAAGATTATTTCATCGGACCACCATCTTACATCCCTACTGAACGCGTGGACTATTTGAAATAGACGCGTACAGATGTCACTTTACATGTTTTTCAAATAAACGATAAGAGATAAAATCAGACGCAATGGTAAATAACAACAATAACGATTAGAAGAACAAGTTTATTTATTTCCTAGCTCATTTTGTAATAAAATCATCGAAATCATGATCTAATATAATTTATGATTTAAATACTTTAAAATATATATTCGAGATTACTACTATATGTACCGGCAACAAAAAGTTGCTCATAATTACTTGTATCGTTCATTTATCAAATTGATTTCCGTGTTAATTGGCGATCTATTTATGTCATAGCGTGCGTATTATTTCTTTCCGGTGATACAAAAATTATAGTGGTAATACTTAATTCGAGTAGTCGCATCAGAAGTGCGTAAGTGCGTGTTCATGATCCAAAAGTATAATAGAACTCTATTAAAAATTAATAAGAAAACTCCACTCTTGCAAAACATTAAAAGCAATGTTTCTTCGCATACTGTCTCACAGCCTACACGTACAATTTTTCATTTCTGTCCTATTTACAATTGTAATTTAATTTGTGTCTTGCTTGGAATGGATTAAAACTCACGTTTTTAGTGATATAATATCGATAACTTTCAGATTAAGTTATTTGGTACTTAAAAATATTGTAGAATATCGTTCTAAGAGCTTTAATTTGTTTTTATCAGTTCCTCCTCTTCTACTTTTTTAATTTTTTGATAATTTAACTGCTTTCCCACATCCAACTTTTGACATTACTTTGACTGAATGTTTTGAGAACTAGAATTAAGAGGCTTGTAACCCTGCAATTTATAAACCTTCGGTTACTTCATCAATTAGGAAACAAGTATATTGAAAAAAAGCACCAATAATTTCTAAATAAAACAGAGTGCAAGGCAAGGCACATAAATTGAAGGTAAAAGACAAGCACAACACGGGAACCGCTATGGGAATGCAGTAACGACACTTGGGAAGGGAAGTTATTCTCATTAGCGATCAATAACTATGTAGTTTGCACCATCTGTACTTGTTAGTGATTCATGCTTCCATAATAGGGCTGGCGTACACTTATCCGTTTACTTCCAGGACTTAAAGCGTTGTTAAACGAGTCTCGTAATCGCTCCCTGAACGTTTTATATTCCATCTCTGGATTACTTTGACCGAAATTGAAATTGGCGACCTCGACTGTGAATCTTGCTCTGCTCTGCATGTAATACGCTATACCAAAAATAATGAGTACGACAGCGGCAAGCGAGCAAGAAACAGGCACTACAATCACCGACAGTTGTGGCTTAGTAGTCACTGTAAAACATATTTCAGTCATCTTATAAATGAAATCAGGGGCACATTTTCATAAAATAACGTACCCTTATAAATGTTTATTGTCAGAGGATAGATTTGTTTGCTGATGTCGTTGTTCAGTATGATTAATATCGTGTATACGCTAGGTTCCAAGAAGTAATGCATGATGGAGAAATTACAAGTATTAAGACGAACTGCGCTCTCGCAGGTCTCATTCCCGGTAATATTATAATTTCCTCGATGGAAATGAAGGCACTTATTGAAAGGTCCTGTACCATTGCATGTTATGTTCAGAGATAACATAGCCCATGGTTGAATCCAATTTGTACCCTCCACCGTTATGTTCGTTATAGGTGCTAAAGTCCGTAAAAAATGAAAAACTGTAAAATAGGATGTTTTACATATTACTTACCACGGACGTCAATTTTTTTGGAGAAGTACCCATACGTCTTGTTAGGATCCGGGGGAATTATTGAAGAATTGGAGCAGACATAAGGCAAGGAGATATTATTTACACTGAAAATACTGGTACTTTCTACATCATTTGGAGGCGTAGGTGCCACCGTAGATGTTAATATCGTTTGACCAGTTATATTCTCAGCAGACGTAGTAGTAGTTACTATCTCGTCTGTAGTATTCGATATTGTCGCGTTCGTCACAGTCGCATTAGGCGAGGTAGTTGTTATTATTGGTGCAACAGTGGGCCAAGGTGCAATAGTTGTTGGTGGATTGTATGAAGCAATTACTAATGCATCTATTTGATGGGACTTATCAGAAACTGTGAAATTGTAGGGAAGATACAATTCGGTCGTTTGACCAAAATAATGGCAATCTATAAACCAATAAGTCAACAATGACGTTGCTTTCTTTAAATGATCCAAGTCTCCTTTTCTTATATCCAGTGTCACATTTGCTTCCGATAATGGAGAAACATAAGAATCCGTCGCTGTGTTATTGGGTTGAGAAATAACGATTTTCCCATTGAGAAATTCTGCAGAAAGATTCTAAGTTATAATAATGCACATCTTCGTACAAACGGACTTTACAAAGTTTTATGGTCAACTTACGATTGACATAGAACTTGGTGCGAATGCTGGTAATTTCCCACCACCAAAGCATTAAACGTTTGCTAACAACTACTTCTACCTCATATATTCCGACCGTATAATTTTCAGGCGAAATGTTCAAACTCCAGTAAGTTGTTGTGTTGAATGTGGGTTCAGTCTACGAATGAGCAAAAGTACATTCGCAAGAAATAATCAGCAAGTATGTTTAGAGAATAATTTGATAAAACTGAACGGACCTCGTATATGTGAGGCTTTAATGAGTTATCACTCCACCAGTATTTATATGACTCTGTCGAGTTCTTTACAGACGGAAACAAATCAGCTTTAAACGTAATAGTTCCGCCTAATACGACAGGGCCATCGTCAGACAACGTAATGTTGTAATCTACGGCGTTAACTGGAATATCGAGAAGTCAATCAAATACTTGGAAGAAGTCGAAGAACGCAATTGCGTACAAAAATGAATCAACTATCACGCAAAACGTGATGATGACACACGTAATCAAAATACCTTGACATGTAGAAAGAATACAAACGAGACCCCAAAACAAATGCACTATCTGCATTCTGTATGCGAATGATCGGTTCACATTTATTTTCAAAAAGTGCCCGTACTCCGTGAATCTAATTGCCTCGTCTTTACAGATCGCGATTCACCATCATTTAAATACGCACCATTGTGACTTCGACCATATTTTACTACTAATGATTGCCAACTGTACCACGACCACGACCACGTTATACACACTTTTCGGACAACCTCGTATATCGATTACAAACAACAGAAAGTGAATGAAATGAATAAAAGGATCCTTTATTATCTTTTTATCTGTTACAGATTAAGAAAATTGATAAGCAATCATTTGCACTCAGGATTGACAATAGAAGAACGCACTCTTTCAAAAGTGCGCACGAATTTGACGTATATTATTCATATTATTCCAAGATGTTGATGAAGAAAATCATTAAAATTCTTATTTATTGTATCAGTTCAACTTATCATTTATAGCGATTGCATTAACTAAATCTTAAATTGCTCTAATATACAAACACTTCATAATGATATCTTTTGATATTATCTAATCGTAAATTCTAAATATCGAAAATATGTACATACAGATTGATATTAGATAAGAATAATGTTTCAAAAGCGAATTTAGTGATATTGAAGTAGTCTATCCGATAAGTTAAACAATTAACTCGTGGCGTATATGCAATGATCACAATATACATATAACTATTAAACTATGATCTTCAAGAACTCTAATTTAAAAGCTTTAATTGCTATTTACAATAATAGTTTTTCATCGAATTATGGAACAACGCGACAGCTTTCACAAGTTCTTTTTGCTCGGAACCTGTGCCAAGTTCCTGCCCCTCGGGAAAATACTAATTTTCTCGAGGAGCAGCTAAAAGAAGTTTTTAAGTTTAAAAATACTAGTGTTAGCAACTGGATCATTGAGGTTAGTGATTCGAAATTTTATCTACTATCTCAGAAATTAAGAATACCTTTAAACAATTGATGAATAATAAAATGAAAAATAACTTACTTTATATATGTTACGGTAAAT